TCTGTCGTTAGACGTTCGGCTAATACATTGGCTCATTCCATTGAGACTCGGTTTAGCTATGCATCAAGGACCTTCCCTTCTATCGAAATTGGCGGAAATAGCATAATAATATTCTCTATTTTCCCATTACAAAAAAGATAGATAGATTATGTAATTAATGCTAAAATTTGGATAATCAATCAAAAGCACGCGACTTTTTATAATTTATATTCAATAATATTTATAGAATAAATAATTAAAAAGCATGGCGATTATGAAACCAAAAATTCAGTTGTTTAAATGCAATAAAGAAAATTTTAAAACGAATTGAAAATCACGGATTTCATGGACTAAGTAATTTTTATAGTTAAAGATAAGTAAATGCAATAAAGGAAAAAATATGTTGAAAAAAATTGTATAATTGTTAATTGAATTGATTCAGAATAATTGAAACTGAAACTTGTGGACCAAAATATGACGATATTTGACCATGAATCTTGTCATTATATTATAATAAAAACGCTATTTGGAGAAAAAATATGACCATATTTGCCCGCAAATCTTGTCACTATATTATAGGTATCCTGAGATATCGTCAAATTACAAAAAAAACCCTCATGAGATAATTACTAAACCCAATTGTGAACTTTCTTACACGTTCATCGTTATGGTGTCAAATTTAACATAATTTTCTAGATTCCGTGAAATACTCTCTAGTTTCTACTCGTTACGTGCAAAAATGTAGTTTCTGATGCACCACAATCTAATATATACAAGACAAACAATACATCTTATGATTATCTTGCTTCAAAATGTGGAGCTAGATAAAACGGGTACAAAATTGAAAATATTCATATAATCTAGAAGATTCCACTAAATTTAACACCGCAAGGCTGAACGTATAAGAAGATTTATAGTTGAATGGTGATTGTAATTACACAAACATAAGGGGTTTGTTTCATAATTTGACCATACCTCAGGGATGATCGTAATTTACTCTTATATTATAATGTATAATAATAAGAGTAAATAAAAAAGCCAATTTCACGAGAACATTTGTCCACAAAAATTACGAGAATGCCTCACCTCTGGAGTACATCTGTCACATTTCTCAAAAAAATTGAATTAATTAATCTCATTATTTCACCTGAAAGTTCAGACATCAAAAAAAATTAACCAACTCAATTTGTTCTTCTGAGCTCGGAGGGAGGAGAATGGCGAAGTCGAGCGCCGACGACGAGGAGCTCCGCCGCGCGTGCGAGGCGTCGATCGAAGGCACAAAGCAGAAGATCGTAATGTCAATTAGGGTGGCCAAGAGCAGTGGGATCTGGGGCAAATCCGGCAAATTGGGCCGCGGTAACATGGCGAAGCCTCGTGTTCTCGGCATTTCAAGTACGCCAATCCCATCGATTTCTATATATTTTTCGTATTTTGTTGAACTGATCTACCATTTGTTGGATATCCTTCGCAATTCTATCTTTAATTTTTTTTTGGGGGGTGGGTTGAAGAGTTAATTCTGGACCTAATTGAGTTTGCAAATTAATCATGAAGAGTGATGTTCATGTTCCTAAAATTTTAGAATCTGAGTTGGCTCCTTTAGTGGAGGTTTAGTGGAGGTTAATTGGCTTAAGACATTAATATGTAGTTAATCAGGTCTTTTCAGTTGGGGCTCAAATGGTGGAATATAAATGAGCAAATCATAGAATTTTACGAGTGATTATAAGTCCACGTAGCTCGAGAGGGATATCTTACAAAATTATCCCCGATTTTCATTTCGCTTGAGTTGGCTTTGCTATATCCTTGCTATTATCATGAATTTTGAGTTACGAAGCTTATTCCTGAGTTCAGTTCGGGTTAAATACGACTCACCACCGGACTGTTCTTTCATGCATTAACATACTTGATTTTCTCGTGTGTTTTAATGATTGCACCAAGACTACTACATTTATGTTGTAGAATGATATGTAGCGTTCGATTTATTGATTATTTTGGCCAATAGAACTACATCATTGTTGCAGCGAAGGTAAAAGCTAAAAGGACTAAAGCTTTTCTTCGTGTCTTCAAATATTCCAATGGAGGTGTGCTTGAGGTAAGTTCTAAACACTTGGTTGATTCAGATTTGTGTATAATGTTTTTTGATCCATAACGCTTGGCACAATTTATAGTAAGTTAATAGCTCCCTGGATAAATATATATATATATATATATATATATATATATATATATATATATATATATATATATATATATATAGCTAATGATGTTTAAAATAATGTATTTATCATAGCAAAAATATGAAATGAGGATAGAAGGGACAGTTACAAACAATATGGTAGCGACATATGTAGCAACTTATATATCTTTTGGAACTTCTCTGATTTTACCGTGGTTTGTTTAATTTTTCTCATGTACTTATTAGTGGCTTATATAAATTTATCTACTCCACGTATAGCCTGCGAAATTGTACAAGCTGAAGCATCTTTCAAAAATTGAAGTTGTAACGAATGACCCTAGTGGATGTACTTTTATGCTGGTATAGTTCGTTACTCTTTCTTTTTCACACCCATTTTGTGTTCACAACTTGGAATATTTCCCTTTTGGATTATGTTTTTTGATATTAGTAACACTGATTCTATTGATGAAGGGTTTTGATAACCTTAGAAATCAGAGTGTCGCCCCACCTCAGTGGACTATGCGCAATGTTGATGACAGGTATGATAGTGATCCTGGTTACGGAAATCCAGTCTTTACTTGGCAACTATGTCGTATAAATCTTCTGTATGAATTTTTTATTTTTATTTTTATTTTTTGATGATCTTTTATTGTAGGAATCGTCTTTTGCTTTGCATCTTAAATATCTGCAAGGATGTTTTGGGTCATCTTCCTAAAGTCGTTGGCATTGATGTAGTGGAGATGGCTCTTTGGGCTAAGGTGCAATTGATATTGTCCAGTTTATTATTGAGCCTAATTCTTTACATAGTTTACTGTGACTGTTCTTGTTTCAAAACTTCTGCTGATTGTGGTCATTAAATTCTTCGGTTACATTAATTTAGCATTTCTGCAAGGTTTTGTCCTTGAGAAACTTCGCATATACTCAGTGATGAATAGTCAATTATTTGTTAGGAGACGTTAGCTATGATGTTACTTTTCAAGTTTCTTTAAAGATAATTATTTAGAGTTTCTATGCATTATTATATCTGATTATGTGAATTACGTTAAGCAAGGACTGGGACTAGATGTGAATTTTCTTAAATCATATATTTGTCTTTTCATTGAATATCTTTTAGAACTATACGTTTCCAGATTTTTTACATCAATTTATTCTAATTATATGGACAGTTAATCTCATAATCTTTATTAGAAAAAAACATATACTAATGTTCTTTCTTGCAAGTTTTTAATTATCAATAATATTAGTATGTAATCTGTTTTATATCTTAAGTTTTCTGTTCATATATTTAATAACTCATCTACTCCTGATTATGTGAATCGATTAAAACATTTTTCTTTGCACAGTTGATACCATCTGCTTAACTAGAAAATGTTAGTGATTCATGATATTTATTTCCATGTTTTTGATACTTTCTCCACCAATAACTCTAAATTTGTCGACTGTTATGTATAACTTCTCCAGGAAAATACACAAGCAGTTACTAAGCGGCAGGGAGACCTTGAAGATGGGCCTTACCAAGTTGAAGTTACAGAAGGTGACATGAAAGTGACTGTTGAAAGGGAACTTGTGTCTCAAGTGGAGGAAGAGGACATGGAAGCTCTTCTAGGCACGTATGTATTTAAATTCCAACAATTACATTCTTACACCTTCTGAGTTTGTAGAATTTACTCAAATGGGTTTTTATGGAACGTCACATATAATGCATCTATAGAAAGTCATAACAAAGAGAAAAGTATGATGTGAAACAGATTTTTCTTAAAAGGAGTTACGATTGTTGCTTAAGTATAGATTATCTTTTTGCATTGGAGAACATAAAAAAAAAAGTCGCAAGCTGGTCAAGTCCTGGAGCTTCCAGGGGGAATGCTTAAAGATCAATGACTACTGACTAGAGAATGCTAATCTAGGTTGATGGTCAGAGGGTTGGCTGACTGGGGTTAGGTGATGTCATGTTATGCCTGTCTAAATGTAGTTTTGATTTTCTTTAGGAGTTTTGGGTTATTAGTGCTGTTTTTGGAGGTACATTTGGCTGTTTGTAGTTAGTCTTTTCAATTGGACAGAAGGGGTTCTAAACATCTTGTATAAAAATGAAGGATATGTAAAATGGAGAGTTGAAGAAGATCCAAGAAGCTTGTTAACTGAAATCTTAAGTAATTAAGCTTCGTTAGGATGCATCATGCAATCTGGAAAGCTTGTTATTCTCGACATAAGTTATAGATAGTTGATTATAACGTAATGTTACAGACTTCACTGCTACTTAACCCCACAAGAAATGGGTTTTATTTGGGATTTCTTAATCCCATGTTTTTTCTGTTCTAATCCACATATGTCATGGACTTTCAGATATAGTACTCTGTCCGTATACATTTTAATGATCTCATGATGATTTTGGGATTTATCCCCAAAAATGTTTATTTATCCGAAAAGATGTCGCCCATTTTTTTTCATAAAAATTATCACGGACTGTGGTATTTGAGAAGAAATTTGAATTTGAAACTGTGCTCGTCTATTTTCTGGAAAAAGCCGTTGATTAGAATTCGAGTTTGAGAAATGTAATAATTGAAAACTAGCTAGCATGCTGTATCCCAAGATTTGCTACTTTGTTCTGCCTGTGTCCCCCTTTTTGTAGCTATAAGTTTTGAAGCAGTTTATAATCTCCGCATGCTTGGTCGCTACTCTTTCTGTATTACTTCAACTCATTGCTGATATTACTCAAAATTGCATAACTTGCAGTTATGTTATGGGTATTGGTGAAGCGGAGGCATTTTCTGAGCGATTGAAGCGAGAGCTTCAAGCATTAGAAGCCGCAAATGTACATGCAATTTTAGAGAACGAGCCTATGATACACGAGGTTGTTTTTTGTTCTTTATGTGATGTGTCTTTGCAGTGCATATGGACTTTTCATCTTCTTATTATATTTATATACTTTCTCCTTACTATCCCTTATAGCCAAAAAGAACTCTCTCGCCACATCCTCGTTATTTTTTCTGCAGAATAATTCGTGCAGTGATTTAAGATTGCTTAGTGGTAACCCACCTGAAATATGTCTCTGTTCAGTCTGACTTGTCCTTCAGTAAAGATGCAGCTATTAATTCGTTAAATGTCAAGAGTAACAACTTTTACAATTTGTTAGTATGTATATTGAATTTGAAGTTTTCTTTTCTTTTTACCTTTTATATAACCTGATTTTCTGGGTTATGCAGGTATTACAGGGCCTTGAGGTAGCAACAAATTGTGTTGATGACATGGATCAGTGGTTAGGTATTTTCAATGTAAAACTACGGCACATGAGAGAGGACATAGAGTCGGTATTAATCTCTAGACATTTTTATATGATTTTCTCATTACTTACCGTATTAAATGATCTTTTAAACTTAAGCTATTCCCATTATATGTTTTAATGTCATGTGCAGATTGAAACCCGGAATAACAAACTGGAAATGCAGTCAGTAAATAACAAATCGCTAATTGAGGAACTTGATAAGCTTCTTGAAAGATTGCGTATACCGTCTGAGGTCTTTTCATATAGTTTTTTTTTTTTTTTTTTCTAACACAAGTCCTACAACATACATTTTTGGTTTTTTATTCGTTGTTTTCCTCATAAATGCAGTATGCATCATGTCTGACTGGGGGATCGTTTGATGAGGCACGAATGCATCAGAATATAGAATCATGTGAATGGCTAGCCAATGCTTTACGGAGCCTTGAAGTGCCCAAGTTGGATCGTACCTATGCAAACATGAGATCTGTATGTGAATTATCTTATCTCTCTACCTTTCTATTAACATTAATTGTTATAAACAGTTCACATGAGAAAAAATATCTTAGATGTTACCCATTTCCTAATGTGAAATAATGATGTTGCATAAATATTTTTGATTCTCATTTGAGAACAATGGTTGAAATCAAGAAGGAGGTTGACTTGGTAATGGGAAGAATATGATTTCATTAGTTAACTATGATTTTGAATTTGTTGAGCCATTTGAAAACTCATATTTTGTAAGTTTACATTGATAAATAGATAGCATTTAATGATGCTGCAATGATTGCTTATCGGCGATGGTGGATGAAACTCTTACAGGTTAGGGAGAAGCGTGCAGAACTTGATAAGTTGAAAAACACGTTTGTTAAAAGAGCAACTGAGTTTCTGAGGAATTATTTTGCTAGTTTGGTGGATTTCATGATAACTGATAAGAGCTATTTCTCTCAGGTAATGCAATGAAATATGCTTTTGTCAATTGAAAACAAAAATATAATCAGTTCTACTGATTGTGTTTTTTTTTTCTTTCTTTGATGACACTTCGGTTATAACAGCGTGGGCAACTCAAGAGGCCTGATCATGCAGACCTGCGGTACAAATGTAGGACATATGCTCGCCTTTTGCAACACTTGAAGGTAAGATGGAAGATCTATTTACATGAAAACAATTTTTTTTTGGTGTTCTTGTTTGTTTCATTACTTCTGATACCTATTCCTTTTTGTTCAATTCTGCATCTGCAGAGTCTTGATAAGAATTGCTTAGGCCCTTTAAGGAAAGCTTACTGCAGCTCTCTGAATTTGCTTCTACGGCGAGAGGTGAGAGAATTTATGATGTTTTGTCAAAGTCCTTGTAGTTAATTTTCTTGGTCATCTTTGTTCTAAGCACTCTCTATTGTACGGTGGCATGGGGTTTTCACGTGTCTCCTAATGGTGCATAATCCCCAAGAAATGGTGTTTTGGTGCATATGCCTCATGGGCATCTCATATTTAATAAATATGGAATATAAACATAATGTCGAGAATAAAAATGTCGAGCAACATTCTTGAAAACTAATAGGGATCGTAAAATGGAAATTTACTATAGAAGGCATAATCTACCGAATGAATGAAAAATTAATCGGTAGCTCTTGAGACAATATAAAACTGATGGGAAATTATTTTTAGACAACAGACAATGAGATATAAATTTTTAGAAGAAAGTATGACAAATATAAATTATTTTTTTATTATATTAATTTTCTATGCAAAACAAGGATACAATAACTTGGAAGAGGACATATCCTTCTAAAATCAACATGAAGCTCCGGATGAACAGGAGTAAAAGATTTGGAGAAAAGTAGAGGCGAAACTGTCGAATATTCTCAGTTTTCAGTGGTTTAACAAATTTGAATTTTAAGTGTCGCTTATCACAAATTTAGATGATTAAGACATTGCTTTTATTTTCTATTCATTCACATGTATTATTTATTTTACCCTGCAAACTGGTTTGGTGCTCCCCCGAGACTGAACAAACTTATCATACATGCTTTTACGTTTGCACGACAGGCTCGTGAGTTTGCAAACGAGCTTCGTACTAGTACAAAAGCATCGAAGAATCCAACTGTGTGGCTTGATGGTTCTGCAGCCTCTAATCAAAATACAAATAGTGCCGACACATCTACGGTTTCTGAGGCGTACGCCAAAATGCTCACGATTTTTATTCCGCTTCTTGTTGATGAGGTTACTGTCAACCCGTTGAAATTCTCTCTCTCTCTCTCTCTCTCTCTCTCAAAATGATTTTTGTCATAAACATTACCTCTTATGAAATACAGAGTTCTTTTTTCGCGCACTTCATGTGCTTTGAAGTTCCAGCTCTTGTTCCATCAGGAAGTTCCAACGGCAGCAGATCTGCACCCAATGATGATGACGATTTGGGTATCATGGATATTGATGACAATGGCAAAGCTGGTAATTATCCATAGTTTCTAAAGTCCCTGTTTGGCCCATTGGATAATACCGTTTCTCAATTTTGTAGGTAAAAAAACTGCCGACCTGGAGGCCTTAAACGAGTCACTTCGTGATTTGCTTGATGGAATACAGGTACCGTGAATTGAAACCTGAAGCTCTATTATATTTGTGTTTTACATCAGTTGTTATATGTTTAGTTGAACGAAAATTTCTCCTTCCCTTTTTCTTGTTGACTTTTTAGGAAGATTTCTATGCTGTGGTCGACTGGGCGTATAAGATTGATCCTCTTCGTTGTATATCAATGCATGGAATTACCGAACGCTATATTTCTGGTCAGAAAGCTGATGCAGCAGGGTTTGTGCGTATTTTACTTGATGATCTTGAAAACAGAATTTCTACCCAGTTTAGTCGTGTAAGTTACACACACACACACACACACACACTAATAATATTATTGATAAAAAATTTGAGCAACGAGTTTGCTTCTGTACATGTGACTCTAAATAGTTTATTGATACATAATGTATTTCAGTTTGTCGATGAAGCTTGCCACCAGATTGAAAGAAATGAGCGAAATGTTCGGCAGGTGGGAGTCTTGTCATATATACCCAGGTAAACTAGACTTAATATGTTCGTACTGAGATTAATGGTTTCGTCAACTTTCTTTTCCTTCTATTCTTTTTTTTTTCCTTCTATTCTGGAGGGATACTACTTCTCGACTTTGTTTGAGGAAAATGTTCAAAAACTTATTTCTGAACTGCTTCTATTGTTGGCATCCTTATACAGTTAAGCTTCTATAAATTGATATTAAACCTCTATAAATTGATACAGCTGGGACCAGCAAAATTCTATTAATTTTGCGAAATATTAAATTATCGAACTAATAATTTATTGAGCCGGGACCGAGAGAAATTATTATTTAAGCGAGGTTATTAATTTATCGAGGTTCTACTGCATGTATTCATTTTGTCATACTTTTGGATAGGTTTGCTATTCTTGCAACCCGTATGGAGCAGTACATTCAGGGACAGTCAAGGGATTTGGTTGATCAGGCTTACACGAAATTTGTGAGTGCTTCCCTCCTCTTAACACTGCAAATTAAACATGTTTATAATAATGAATCTTAATTTGGATCTTGACTTTGCTTATTCCCACATCTGCATTACTCCGACTTTATAAGCATTCAGTGATATGATGTGTAGTATAGTTTATAACGTTCAGTTTCCGTACTACAATTGTAACTCATGCTGTAATATATAAAAACATATCCGGCAATGTAATATGAAGTACCGACTCATGATCATCTGGAAGGGAATCGTATTTTGAAAACATAATTTGGCAGGTCACCATAATGTTTGTGACGTTGGACAAAATTGCTCAAGCAGACACGAAATATACAGATATTCTGCTCTTAGAAAATTATGCAGCATTTCAGAACAGGTACTTATCAATTTCGTTTCTACTCGTATATCACTTAATTTACGAATACTGGACTTCTTGTAACGTGTATTATACTTATGAGTTGGTACCGATGTACAGTCTATATGACCTGGCCAACGTTGTAGCCACTTTGGCAAAATTTTACCACCAAGCAAGCGAGTCTTATGAACAAGCTTGCACGCGCTTTATAAGCACAATCATATACTACGTAAGTACTCTATTTCATGCAATTGTGGTTTTGTTTCCTCAATCCTGTACTTTTAACCATCTTTGACCTTCGAGCATTTACGAAAAGCGCCAATGCACAATCTTGTAATTTCGTCTGTCTTAAATTTTGAATGGATCTTTCTTTCAATGTTTTATCAATTTCATTCTTGAAATTGAGAATTTACGCTACTTTCTTAACTGCAGCAATTTGAACGACTCTTCCAGTTTGCTCGCAGAATAGAGGATTTAATGTTCACAATCACACCAGAAGAGGTTAGTTTCGTTGGCATAACATATAATAATACATCTCTGTCATGCTTTACAATCAAAATAAACTCCGGCAAAAAATTGCAGATCCCGTTCCAGCTTGGATTGTCGAAAGTGGATCTCCGAAAGGTCGTCAAATCAAGTTTATCTGGGGTATGAAAACTGACAATCTTTGAGAAATTCGGCACTGGTTTGGTCAATATTTGCTAAAATCGTTTTCTCGTTTGTAGGTTGATAAGTCCATCACTGCAATGTACAAGAAGCTGCAGAAGAATCTGACCTCCGAGGAACTGTTGCCTTCGTTATGGGACAAGTGCAAGGTAATCTATTTGTAACAGTCGTTCAAGATTTCAAGGTATATCTTGAATTGTTTACATCACGATCTATTGATTATTGAACCTGTGTTTCTAAATGTGACAACGTATGTGCTTTAGTCTTGTATTTGTTACTTATATAAACTCTTCCTTCGAGACGAAACTTGTTTTTTTTTCTTTCCAACTGTCAAATGTCTAACCTGATGCGTCGAACGTATGACAGAAAGAGTTTCTGGACAAGTACGACAGCTTTGCGCAACTAGTAGCTAAAATATATCCAGGCGAGAATATACCAGACGTCTCGCAAATGAGAGATTTATTGGCGTCCATGTAGAGGAGAGTGTAGTTTTTTTCTTTTTTTCTTTTTATATAGTTGCCCTTATGGTTTTCCTTTATTTTCTTTTTCACCCCTGTTTGTTTTATTCATAGATCATCTTACTTAAGTGAAGATATATCTGTTAGGGCGTGTATGTATGTGCGTGTGATGTCTACATATGATCTTTAGTTTCTAGTCATTATTGAGTTTCGCTCTTTATTTGTTTATTTATTGTTGCATAGTTAATCAAGTGTTGTGGTATATGTTAGTTAAGTTTTTATTTTATTTTATTTTATTAGAAGTTAGAAGTGTATATGTTAGTGAATGTTGGGTACTCATACAAAATGATACTAAAACAGAAATTTAGAAAATAAAGAATGGAATGAGATAGACAAATATCGTTTCAACACATGGAACTGTTATTGTTTCCAAATGGCTCATTTTTCTGTTGTCCAGTGTTCAGTTTAGAAATTCAAATAGGTGGCGACTTACACCAAACTAACTCAGAAACCCTAGATTTACCTCAATACTTATATTGAGTTGACTCACCAACATATGCATAGTCAACGATGTAAAAAGAAAAGTTTTATACTCAGTAACTCCAGTTTTTTCTAACTCGGAGACTCAATCACTCAAATAAATAGGAGATTGAAAAAAAAAATTCAAAGATACATACATATAGATAAGTGTTACATTTGTCCCTCTCTCTAAATATAAATAGAAACAGAACCAACGGCAGGAGATATTAAAAGTGAGCACCTAAGTCAAAATTAGCCATATATGGCGAAAACTCTGTAAAGAATTGTCGGAAAAGACAAGCTGACGATGGAAGTATTGTTCAGAGAAAGAGAGAAAATGGATAAGAGAGAAACGGCGCATTCGAACTGAGAGTAAGGTTGAGAGGAAGTTTGAGTAAGTGGACGTCCACGATTAAACGAAATAATTTGAACGGTCAAGATCAAGATGATTGACTTTGGATTGGGCTTTAGTTGGCTTGAGTATTTCTAGGAATCGGACCGCGGAGATTTATTTAAGTCTCCGTCGAGTCCCATTTAAATTTAAACCTTTTTCCTTCCTTTCTTTTATTATTCAAAAAATTCCTAAACACGTGCCAAACCAGAAAGAAGACAAGAACAAAACAAACAAACGAACAAAAAACTATAATTCCATTTCCTTATTCCCAAACCTCCAATTATCTTATTGCAACCATTCCTCTGCAGATAAGCCTTTTCTTTCTCTTCATATGTAAGAAGAATGGTACAATTTTCTGCCATGGCTCGTTCCATAAGCTTCTCATCACATCCAATACTTAAACCATTCATCACTCATCCTATTGAAAATATTATATTCACCACTTTCCAAAAGAAAAAATTTCCATTAAAATTCTCTCACCAAGAAATTCATCTTCAAGAACCGAAGCCGTCATCGAACTCGAAGCCTTTCGGCAGAGAGAGCAATATAAACTTAGCCCTCGAAACATTGGAAGCAATGGGACGAAACGAAACTCCTGCAGAACCAATCCGTGTGTCGGAACTAATGCAATTCACCGTCGACTCGAAATCTCTGCCAGCTGGCGACAGGATTTACGAGTACGTAATGAGATTCTCGTCAAGTTACGACGTCTCCGTCTTCAACGAGTTGATCGATATGTACTTCAAGCTCGGAGACTACAGAAGAGCCGGTCGAGTATTCGAGCAAATGGTATGCAAGAACATCGATTCTTGGAATACCATGATAAAGGGCTTGTCCGAAAACGGACAAGAAAACGAAGCAATACAACTTTTCGCCAAACTAGTGAAAGAAGGTAATAATAATACTACTAATAGTAACATTTCACCAAATGAAGAAACATTCTTGAGTGTTCTCAAGGCATGTGAGCACTTAGGAGATTCGGAGAAAGGGAAATCGTATTTCGAATCGATGAGCAAAGATTACGGAATTACCCCCTCCTTGGATCACTACACGAGCTACGTTAATCTTCAAAGGAAAACGAACAGAAGGGTAGTTTCGGAAAAAGATCGTGCGAAAAATTCGGACAAGAGTTTGGCGTACGAGAAATTGCGATGTTTGAGCGACGAGGCGAAGAAAGCGGGTTATGTGGCGGATACGAGATACGTACTACATGATATCGACGAAGAAGCTAAAGAGAGAGCTTTGATGTATCATAGTGAAAGATTGGCTATTGCTTATGGGCTTATTAGGACAACTCCGGGTACAACTTTAAGGATTATAAAGAACCTTAGAATTTGTGGAGACTGTCATAATTTTATTAAAATATTGTCTAAATTTGAGGAGAGGGAATTTATTGTAAGGGATAATAAGAGGTTTCATCATTTTAAAGATGGAATTTGTTCTTGTAGAGATTTTTGGTAGATTTCTTGGATTGGTTTTAGTGTGTTTCTCAAAGCCTATATATGTTTGGTTCATGTGATTAAGTTGTGTATATACTAAAATATTCGAATTCGGAATGATAAATTCATCGACTTTGTTCGAATTAATTCGTTTCGATTATGAATTTTAAATTCTCGATTTTCATTTTAGGTTATTTGTGTTCGTTTTGGTCGAATTTTCAAATACAGTAGAACCTCGATAAATTAATAACCTCGCTTAAATAATAATTTCTACTGGTCCCGACTCGGTGAAAACATATTAAATTATTAGTTCGATGATCTAATATTTCACTAAATAAATGAAATTTTGCTAATCTCCACTCTATTAACTAATAGAGGTTTAACTGTACATCCCTGATGATTGTCATGATAAAGTTTCCCAATAATAAATTTTACTTAGGTAGCATAATTAAAATAAAATAAAGTGTTTATTTTATCATAATTGAAATAACATAATACAAAATTACCATAATTTATTATCAGGAGTGTTTAATAAGTGTAAAATCGTAAAAGGGACAATAATACACAAAAAAATTACTATAAATTATAAAATACATAATTTAGCAAAAACATAAGATCCAAATCTTCATCACATTGACTAATAAGTTCCATTCATCTTGTTAATTAAACGCTGTTCATAGTTGTGATACGTAATTTCAGGTGCCGCTTAATCGAACCACTTTTCTCGACCAACAAGATCTTCGAAAAGAAATACAGAAATGCATTTTTTTACAAGATATGCAAATATATATTATGCCTAAAAAATCCTCTACATATACATAAATTCAATAATTCTCCGACACAGGCCTCGAAGGAAAGAGCCTCAGTAGAAACGTAAGCAACGACCAGAGACAAAAAACGCCCAGAATCCGAAAAGTGACCATCATCGAAATCAAAGCACCAGTTCTCTCCAATACTGCAGGTGTCACATTTGCCTCTCTCATCCCATATATCAACTTCTCCAAGAAACCCGTTGCCCTCGTCAACTGATATATCCTATACACCTGAGTAAAGATATACGAATATCTTATTTCAGATGACATCGTTTAAGAGAAAAAATGGTAAAATTACAATCACCACCTGAGGTATGGTCAAATTACGAAAGAAAAAACCCTTTTGTTTGGATAATTACATCTACCCCTCAACTATGAATCTTCTTACATCTCCACCCTTATGGTGTCAAATTCAACATAATCATCGATTCCATGAAATGTTCTCTAGTTTGAACTCGTTTTCTGCAAAAATACAATTTCTGATGCACCACAATTTGATATATACAAGCCAAAATACACATCTTATGATCATCTTGCTTCAAAATGAGGAGCTCGAATGGGATAAAATGGGTCCAAAATTGAGAATATTCCATATAAACTAGAAGATTCCACTAAATTTGAAACCACAAGGGTGGATGTGTTAGATGATTTATAGTTGAGGGGTGGTTGTAATTACCCAAATAGGAGGGGGTTTTCGTAATTTGACCATACCTCGGGGTGGTTGTAATTTACAAAAAAAAAATAAAAACGAAAAAAAATTACCTCGAAAATAATAGGTATAAGGGGCCAACAGGATGATTCGTTTCGATCAAGAACTTTCTCGAATAAGTATTGGGCTAAACAACCAGTTAAAAACGGAGCAACCGAAACCAATGCTGGAAAACCGAGTAAGGGCCATGTGACAAAAACAGCCATAATCGGGGCAAAAACCTTAAACCCCATTGTGAAAAAGGCGGACGACAAATAACCCTTTAGGCCTGTAATAAGACTCCATCTTTTCGAGGTGAAGTGGAGATACGGCTTTTGAATGCGGTGGGTTATGAAGAGAAACATTGCAAGTCCCGCGTAAAATGTGAGCTCGGTCGATAAGGAAGAAATAAGTTCTGCACCAAGATTAATGTGATTTTTCTTCTGTAAATAGTTTAACGGGAAAATGCAAATAATATCTATCGAGTTTTAGTTTTCTTTAGCATACAACACGATCGCTAAACAAGAAACACACACACACACACACACACACCATATAAAAGCTTTGCGAATTAAGGAAGCATCAGTATATTATAGCCCCGTTTCTCTTTGTGCAATTAATTCTACCAATCGTGTTTTACATCTCTGTTTTCTTATTGAGCAGTTGCTTCGTTACGACAACAAAACAAATATAGAAATGCATTATTACATGAAACCCCGAGCACTTTAGAGTTTAGAATGGTGACTTTGCCTTTATTTTCTTCAAACAAAAATCAAGTGCAGACGTCCGTGATAAGAATAAAATTCAAGATAAATCACTGAAGAATATGGTTAATTGAAGTTTCCGAAAATTCACAATTCGTTTATATCACATGTAACACACATATCTCCCTATTACAAACATAAACCGAAGCAAAACAGCCAAACCAGATTTTTAAGTTGGTTATATAGTGGAAGCCCAACTTTCCGTTGCTACATTGTATTCAGCTGCAATAGTAGAAGAGTTCCGATATTAATCGTCACATCACTTTCTTATCACATTGCAAATTACGAAACTTATGCACACATACTTTCAAAATAATCATCAAATGAAATCACTTTGACACACACACACACAGCACACACTATTTGAGATCACTATACCTTAAATAATTTAACCACCCCCCCAAAAACCATAAACGAATCGTCGCAATAACCAAACGCCAATCTCAACACGTTATAATCCACTAAAGAAAGGTACAGCATACCTGCAAAAACTTCATTCTTGAAAGTATCTTCAATAGCACCAACAATGAAGAACTGCGGAATAACGATGGATGAAATCAAAGCAACGGGGGCCAAAACCCAAAGCAAAGAACCGGACTTTTCCTTAAAAGGGGCCGACACCAATTTACTTTCCTCTACAGATTGATGACTCAGCCCCCCAAATGAAATAGACCCTGATTTCCCCCTAAATGGTTCTTCTCCCCCCTTACTCGCATTAACCCTAAAACCCAACTTCCTCGGCCGATTGAAATTAGCAGCTGGTATAACAACTCCACTCCTTAAACATGGCATAACCGCTAAAACAAAATAAATAAAAAAAAAAAAAAAAAAAAAAAAAAAAGCAGACAAAGATAATAATGAGTAAAAATAAATGGCACCCAATTTTATTTTATTTTAATCAAATAAAATGAGAACAGTGAACAAGAACGTACATTTCAGCTCAAATTGGGATCTGGGCATCTTTCTTATCAAGCTAGTATGGTTTCCATAATGCTTGTTGACCTAAAACGAAAAAAAAAAAAAAACAAACAAATTGCAGACGAAATGTGAAGAATTTCGCGAAGAGGAAATAAATTGACGGATTGAATGAAGAAAACTTACGGAGTGGAATCGAGGAGGTGAAAAATGGGTGGGAGGAGGGTAATTTGGAAGGGAAACACAGGCGGATTGGAGATTCATGGTGAGTTCTATGCGGAAATGGGGGTTAGGGTTTTTGCGCGGTTCAATTATCCTTAAACCCTTTCGTGCCCAATTCGGCTGTCATGTTGACTCTAGTCTGTCTATTTTAAGACGTGGAAATTACAAATTAACCCTCAACTATTTACTCTATTTTACATTTGATGCAGGGGCAGCTCATTTTATAAGAATGTTTAAATATCTTGTAATAAATATTTCACTGAAAACAAAAAAAAAAAATGAAATAACTTAGAGCATATGAGGATTAAGCGATGTCTGCGACTATATACAATTGCAAAACTTATTTAGAACAAGACCAAATTAAATTTCCGACCAAATCAACTATAAGAAAACTATAATGCCCTTAGTGAAATACAAACAAAACAAACCTAATTACAGACCAAATTACTCTTGCAAGACAAAAAAAAAAAAAAAAAAGAAATGAAAAAACGGGAGGGAAGAAGAAGAGAACCTGCTCTGTAGTCGACCACCGCCGCCGTCGTCGCCGTTGCATTTGACGACCGCCACAACCCCCACCGCCTACAACTGTTCTCGCCACCACAATCCCCGCCTCAGCAACCCCAAAAAGCAAGTAAGGAATTACCTTTTGAATTAAGTTTTTTCAAAAAACAAAATGTGCTAAGTATGAGTACCATTGAGATTTTGTTGTTATAAGAGCAACTCCAACCCAGTGTTATCAAATGGGGTTATCAAATACTCATTTGATAACCAGGATTATACTTTGATATCTGTATACAACTAGTGAACTCCAACCACAAGTATCAAAAAATGATTATCAAACAAATTTATGATTATTTATATATTATTTATTTTTTAATCCATTTTTAAATAACTATGCAAACTGATTTTTCGGGTAAACTATCCTCAAAATCAATATTAATCAAGTTTTTTACTTTTTCAAAACCGAAAAGAAAAATTATATATACATAGTGGTTCTTTTATTTTTCCGTGGAACTTTGTTGAAACTCTAGAGAAAAAAAATATGTTGAGATTTTTTTGAGATTTTTTTTCCAGTGGAAATTATTTGAGACGTAGAAAATTTAATTTTATTCTGTTGAGATTTTTACGTAAATAAAAGAAAACTCAATTCTATTGAGGTATTTTCTTTTTTCACGTGCTCCTATTTTTTAGGAGAATATTTGATAATTATTTATTTGGGATGCCGATGGATGAATTATCAAAATAGAACTCTATTTTAATAACCCCATTGGAGGAGAGAGTTTTTAAAATTGGGGAGTCAAATGGAGGTTAATGGATTTGATAACTCATTTAATAACCCCGCTAGAGTTGCTCTAATAATAAATATAAGTCCAGTGAGAACATAGTTATGGGGTTCTGTAAAAAAATTGATGATTTTAGGGTTAAATTCCACCAACATTATTGAAGTTTAAAAAAAACCCGCATAGTCAAAAATCGACATCTACGTGTCGATTTTTGTTGTAGATGTTGATTTTTCGCCGGGATTAAAAATTCAAGGGGTATTTATGATATTTTATATATTTTTTGTGATGAATTGAGATACTTTGGAGGTGGAAATAACACCAATCTATCTAATCCATATAGCGAGCTATTAATTTACCACCTTGTTCTCGAATCGAGACCGAAAAAATCATTATAAAAAAACGAGGTTATTTATTTATCTAGATTTTATTTTACTCTATATGATTTTACTAATAAGTATTTGTTCCTTTATTTATGGGCTCAACAAAAAAGCCCAATTCAATGAGGAGCACGTGCATATTTAGTTGTACATTTGGGCGGTAGTGTAGTTAGGATATTTGGTCGGAAGCACCCAAACCGTTAAGTCGCCGTTTGACCTGTCATCTTCTTTGACTTCCAAATTCCGTTCCAACACTCGCTCGCTCATTCGTTTCCGTCCATATCTACTCACCGACGAACCCCGTCGGAAAATCAAGATTTCAATTCTTGATTTTTATTTCAATTTTCTCACCTCCTTAATTTTTATGTTTTGGTCAAAGTTTACTGTTGTTAGGCAATAATTTTTGACTAGTACGTTGATGTTAATATTCCTCTCTTTGAAATTGGACTCGTTTTTTTTTTATTTGAATTATCTACAAAAAATATACAATTATAATTGTGAATGAAAATATAATATGATTAATTTAATCCGTTCACCAACCATCTAAAATCAAGAAAAAAAAATGTATAATTAAATATATTGAATGTTCACATGTTGATTCCAATTGATATATGTAGTTCCAATTGCTATATGTATTTAATATTACAAATTACACGCATTTACTAAGGTGGGAGTCTAATTTGGTTCCTTGACTACAAAAAGTCGAACACTTGTAATTTAAAACAAAGTCTAATTTTAGGTGCAATTTATTTTTACGAATATACCATATCGACCTGATTATGGAGCAATTTAGTAGCCCGCATGTGTATAGTTCAACTGTTTTTGATATAGTGAATGGTTATAAGATCTTATGATCGAGTAGTGATAGTTGTACCGTTCAAATTTTAATTTCGACTGGAGTTGATTTCTTGTGTAATACTTAAAAGTCTTATTTCATAAAATGGAATATAATCACTAGTTTAACATAATAATTTCAAAAAAAAAATAATCACACAAAATAAACGCAATTCCTACACAAATCAAAAGTCAAATATGTTCATTCATTTGGATTTTAACCAGATGACAAAAACTAGTAAGGTGGGATCAAATTAGTATATTATGCACACATTAAATGATTCCTAATATTTTAAGTGCTTCCAATTAGTCCCTTTTAATTTTATGGGAAATTGCTTAGAATCCCCTATTTTGAACTTATATTTTATATAAGTGGAGATCCAAAATTGTTGATGACTATATGTAAAGAATTATTGACCAATAAAAGTAATTCAAATTAAATAAAACTATTAGTATTATTAGACATAAATACCCCTAATTAGTATATGTTTTTATCTCTCCCACTTTGGGGCATTTTTTTTTTGGTGTGGTTTTAATATGGAGTTTTTAAAATGGTGTTATTTTAGGAGGAGTTATCAAATTGGGGTTGACCGCCATATGCAACGGCGGCAACGGCCGGAGACGCCACCGCCGGTGTCGGCACCGGGAGGAGACGCCGCCGCCGGTGGCGTCTTCTCTCTTTTTTTAATTATTTATTTTAATATTTTAATATTTTAATATTTTAATATTTTAATATTATAATATTATAATATTATAATATTTTCTGAGGAGATGCCGCCACCCGTGGCGTCTCTCTCTTTTTTAATATTAT